GGAACTAGAATTAGCCTTACTAGTCTCAGAGGTGTACTTTACAATATTGCTAGGGGCTGATTGCATTTATCGAATTACCAGAGGCATACGAAAAAAAGTGTGTCAGCACCAGTAGAAGGAGCGGCAACAGCAGGAGCAGAAGCAGCAGCGTAGCAGGAGGAGTGGAACAGCTGCGGAGCAGAGCGCGGACAAAAATAACAATACAAGTGTAAAAAAATAATTAGCAATCGACCAGGGTCGCACCGGCAGCAGCAGCGGCCAAGCGGAAGCGGCATGAAGCGGCAGCGGAAGCAGCGGCTGCAATAATAGTAGCAACGACAATAGCAACGTAGTAGTAATACAAGGACCAAAAGTAATATAAATAGTGCAAAAAACAGTATTAGGCTCATAATCCACATCCCCTGCTATATGATGGGCTTTCGCTGTCACCATGTTACCTCTCACCGATCCTTATTTGCACTGAAACCCTTCTGCATGCCATTTCCTGGGGTGCTTCTGTGTTTCGCAGTTTTGCCCTTGTTCATTCACTTGGGTGGGCTTCTGGAAAGCTTTCGCAACATTTCGTAGCCTCTTTCTTGCCCACATGAATTTGCTTGTACAAAGCTAAGAACCTTGACTTCCAGTACAAGACTTCTGCCCAAGGGTCAATGGCGCTGCTCCGTTCAAGATAAAATTGCATTGTCTGAATCTCTATATATCTAACCAGCAATTTTCCAGCCAATAGGTATGCATGAAGATTACCCTTCCACATTGCATTGCAATACGGTGTGAATAAGAGGGTCAGAGCTCACGATCGAAATCCAGAAAATTATCCCATCAATCTTTTTCTTGATTTTCTATTGTGGTCACTTGCGGTGAAACCTTCGTGCTATGCAGAAAGGCGGCGCCCCATCTCAAGTCGAGGTGCCATTCTGGGTCCATGGGATGGACCTGACGGTTGTGATCATTTGGAAAACATGATGTGATCTGCCAGTAGGAATCCCAAGTATCCGTGATTCGTGCATAGCCTATCATAGCCTTATATTTCATATAAGCATTGTATAGTCAATAAAAGTCAGACATATTCAGACTCTTTTTTCCGGGGTAGCTGAGGCTTATCGCAAAGTCTCAGGTCAGTACTACGTCTTGGTGGTGCTGTTGTGGATCGCGGTACCTTGGAGTGACTATGGGTGAGACCCCAGGCTGCTCCTATCTGCTGAAGAGGTGAGAAGTGGCATTTCCCGTTCAGGGCACGAAATGAACCATGATCACACAACAACATAGTTACACATAATCGCAATTCTGGCATGTGCTTGATAAATCTTAAACGTTTCTGCACTTCTAAATCTCCTGATAAAATGAAAACTTTCCCCACACCTACATCTTAGAGCCGTACCATCTGAGCACTTGGAACTCCTCGGCAAACCACCGAAAAGATGACACGCAAACAGAACCAACGACAGTAGTAGAACGGTGCACAGTATCATTATGCGACTATTGCCTGCCAGCGTTGCATCACTGGACGCATGCAACCAAAGTCTCTGCTAGCTCGGGCATGCAGTGCGCCAGTGCCAGTGGATGGGCGTTGCTTGCCTCAGGCCCGAAAAAAGCAGCCAAACAAATGATTTCGACATGCCCAACTGTTCTAAAAACTGATGACATGGAGATACATGGAGGCTGTTCTTCGCTGAAACACATGGTTTGACCACGATTACTGAGACGGTGACCATCAGCATGCCTAAATGTGCTTTGCCAGGAAGAAACATGTCGAACTAACGTTGCCAACGCGGTATTTGCTTGACTCGACGTGTGTTCCAAGACTACTGAGAAAAAACAAAGACCATCTACAACCTTAACATCTCAATCCATTCAGCCGCAATACCATGCCATACCACACCCTACCATTACACCCATGCCACAAGAGACAGGATCCACATCCCCGAACATCCCACAGCTTCTTTCAAACCTTCCCAGGCCCTCCACATGGCCTGCTCCATGAGGTTGATCTCTGCACCATTTTGTGCCTCGGAGAGGGACTGAAGCCATGTGCTCGGAACAGGGCTGAAAGCTGAGATGCAAACCCTCCATGTGCAGGTGGCGAATGATCCTCCAGGAACCGCCGCATGGCTTAAACAATTATGTCTATTATGTCTATTATATATATATATGTGTGTGTGTGTATCTATAATTATATATATATATCATATCATATCATATCATGTTATATCATCATTATATGATTATGTGATATCTCTCTCTCTCTCTCTCTCTCTCTCCATCGCCTTCTCCTTGATTTATAAATGTATATCATTACTTAGCTTGGGAGGCTGTCAGTATCCTTCAACCAGAAAAGCGGCTAAGGGCTACGTGTCAAGTGTTTGGAAGTGGGACAGCTTCCCAACAGTCCGATGCCTCACTCACTGTCGGCAAATGACCTGAGCCAGCAATCGGTATCGGCATCATCCTCTGCAAACCCCCTGACTACACAAAATGGCAAACTTCATGGATCTTGATGGCATTGAAATATTTCATAACATATCCCGGTCGTAGTGTAGATGACCGTGTCTGGACCCCTGGAGTTTCTCAGCCCTGCACGCCCTGGGTCCGCGAAAATGCTTGCGGTAAGCTTTTGAGACAAACGAGCATTTGCCGCCTGCTCCTGGATGCAATGTGAATTGCAATGTGAATATCAATCTGAGACAATCTGAGTGCATATATTCATATATTAGGAAGCACTCATATATATCATATATCCATATATGTTTATATCAATCCTAAATTTCCTAAACAAAGAACTTCAACAAACCTGGTGCTCCTGGTCGATCATATGCATTGATGCCAAGGATTCCGTGCCACGGAAACTGGCAACCCGTCACCCATCACTGCCGTAAACAATGTACCCTCTGGTAATTTAACATAGCTATTGAAAATGGCCATTTATAGTGGATTTAACCATTAAAAATTGTGATTTTCCATAGTTACGTTAGTTTACCAGAGGGTAACAAGGTTCTGGCACGGAGTCTCGGGATACTTGTGTAATAATTGTGTAATGTTGTGTATATCGTTTTGCAGTTTTGCAGATTTTTGCAGTGCTTCAATGCTCTGTCTCTTCCAAATGGCCCAGCCATCAGAAACAAACGAGGTCGGGTAGGCTGGACCGAATGCCTAAGCAACATGCGAGCTCGCAGGACGGCCACCAAGCGCCCCTTTATGGGATCTGAGGCGTAAGAACTTATCAAGTCGCGACTCAGCCCACGACGGATTGGCATGTTTGCGCGACACATTCCTATCCACCTGCCCCCAAAAAAAAGCTCGGTCCATCTGCAGCTTTGTCCACTCCATCCCGTTTCGGATTTGAAACGCTGCACCCATGTAGCTTCAAGGTAGAGTTCACTTTCACCATGCCACCGCATGAAACAGCCCAACCTCTTGTCCATGGGTTGCCCATGGCGGAGGTGTAGCCCCTACTGGCGGAGCCTCACAGCCAAAACTTTGCCATATGCCCTCATGAGTCGAAGATGCGAAACTAAGTTGGGGACGTTCACGCTATGCCCTTGGCAAGGTTCCAATTACGACATGACTAGGTCTGGTCTGAACCCGGAATGCTGACGATCAGCAAGTGTTTCACTCCAAGCTGTTACCATGTCTAATGCTGAAAGCGAGGACTGCTGCATGCATATAGAATGTGGCTAGTAGGTAGCTTGAGTTTTTGCAAAAATGAGCAGATGATAGATGAAATGAAAACTGTCTACAGTCTACATCAAACACACAGGACGTGGCACTGGCAACAGCAAAGGCGTGATGTGATTTGAGTTCACTGCCGACGGAAGCCTTGCCGACTGGTGGGCAGTTCCTACCAGCAAAATGATGAAAATGAAGCAAACCAACCAGAATCCTGCGTGGCTGGTTTGGTACAAGTAGCACGTCCGTGGCACGTCCGTCCTTTGTCTTGGGACAGGACCACCCCAGCTTGTCTTTACCTGCGGGTTGCAGGCCTACATCAGAGAATCATTATCCTGCCTTTAGATGCCTTTAGAGTGCCAAACAGCTGCTTCTTCTATCATATCTTCCATCTTGCCCCATTGTAGAAAATTATTGTATGATTTGTGTGGAATCAAGTGGGCATATTGATACCTGAACAGACTGGAATTCAGTAATCATAAAATCATATGAAATCAAATACAAGCTAGGAATTCACACTCAGCACATACTGTAGCTTGCCAGGGACTTTCTCAAAACGACTTCTGAAATCATCACTATTCCTATTTGCTGCGGAGAAACGCCCGCAGCGGAAGGGGCTGATGGCATGCACCACTAACCTGCGTGCCACAGGACACTACGCATTGCCGGCACAAGGAGCCTCAAAGGATCTGGGTGTGTGGCTGAAGATCAGAACGCCAGCTCCTGACAAACTGAACATCCTCAGCCAACATGCAGCAGCTTGTGGCACAGTGAGTGACAGAGTTGTGGCAGAATGCAGGCTTTCCAGCATCTGAGCTACGGACAGTTCCAGTGCCAGTAGCTGCGTTGGAGATGAAACAAAAGCAGCTTGATTGGCAGGAGGGCGACAGAGAGTGCATCCATGGAGGCCAAGCTTCAATCCACTCAACGCCAGACGCAATAATCGCAATCAGTGTATCTTGGAACCGCATGGGCCAGCACAACTGGCGCAAACGACATGCTGCGAATGACTGATGATATTCCATGATATTCCCATGGCATATTGAAGTGCTCTGAGTGTGTATGATTGCCTTTTCCCTCCCAGAGTTTGCACGAACACAATTGCTGCAGTGAAACCTTCTTGGACGCTGCCTTGCAGCTCAGCTAATTCTGACCTCCGGGTCTGGTGTTTGAACCTTTGCCTCAAAAAATGCGGAGGCGCATTGGAGGTCTTTGTAATGGTACTGGCCTGAAAAGCATTGGCAACTCCTTGCTCTTTCAAGAGTGAATCGAGTTGAGTCTGGCAAACTCACTTATGTAAATGCAATGAGATGAGATCCAGATTGATGCCACTGCTACGTCCATCTGAAAGCATGAAAAGAGCAAAGAGTTCTGAACCCAAAAGCAGGCTCGTCTAGCTGGAATGGCAGTCCAGCCCAGCATCAACTACCCCTTGGATCCTAGAAAGAAAGCAGCTCTTGGTGGCTGCTGCCGACGGAAGGGCCCAGTGCAACCTACTGCATGCAGTGCCACAGGCTGTTCCTATGACACTCCATTGGTGCCTTCGGCCAATCCTATTCAGCACATCTCAGCATCAGTTTGTCTAAGCTTCGTTGTGCTATAATTGCTCCATTGCAGTGGGTGCCATGCAAAAGTTGGGATATGGGATTTCAATCCAAGGCACAAACCCACTGGATAAAGGAGCAACAAAACATCTCACGTGATCCGAGGACTGCGAAGTTGTGAACTTGGAGGAGGGCCTCACAAATGAGCATGGCGGGAACCCTTCAGTTGCTGCATAGAATGCTTTGCTGGCTTTCGTTTTGGTGTTTGTTCACTCCTCCCTCAGAACACCGCAGAACCCATAGTAAGTGCTGTGGATGTGGGTATTGAATCATTGAACAAACGCGGAAGGCAGTCCAGAGTTCCCGAAAACAAATTCCAAAACAAAAAATTGAATGCGTCGAGTGGCTGCTGAAGTTACTATACCCCATTGGCCACCCCGCTTGCGCTGGCAAACTTGCAGCATGTGGAAACTCGGAATAACTCTGAGTTGGTGTGGGGAACCTTGGCCAGGGGGGCTGAACAAAGCGGAACACGTCCACAAATTGTCAAGCTAGAGCTTCATATCTTGAGACCGTTCTCCTACTAATGCCACGAGGTTGAGGGTGGGCCCAAGCATGCCCATTCAATACCTATATAAATCAAATTGAAAGAAACATGGAAAGCTTCCTCAGATTGGTCTCCCAGGAGCATCGGGCGCATTTCTTGTGCATGCCACGATGAGAACTCAGGCCTTTGTGTCCTCCAAGTATCATACTCCCTGACTGCTTCTGCACCCAGGAAGTGGGGCATCCAATTCGGCTGGTCCTGCGTCTCACTTGGAGGCTGAAGCCACTGGGGCTGTCCCCCCCATCCTGGTCCCGCTGGTCCACCTGGTCCACCTGGACCGCAGCCACCGCAGCCACCGCAGCCGCCGCAGCCACCTTGACACTGGCCTTGGGGCCCTGGGCTCACCATGGGAACACTTCGAGGTGTGGGAGGCAGTTGGTGGAGCTGCCAACTGCCCTGCTGACCTCCACAGCCACTTTTCCAGGTACCTCGTCCACTCATGGGCGAGGCATCGGAAGTGGGAGCCTTTGATGGTTGCGAGGCGATCTGGTGCCAGGCTGCATCAGAAGCAGCTTGGGAGATCATGTCTTGTTCCAGCTGCTGATCTGCAGGGAGTGGCATGTATCTGTGCCCTCCCAATTTTCGATCTACGCCTTGTCGTGACACTTGTCGTTCTTTGGACCGACGGGTGAAGCGACACCTTCTCAGCAGCAAGTATGCGGTGACCAATGCAGCGAGCACCAGTATCACTGCAATCCAGAACCAGGGGTTGGTAAAAATGCCACCACCCTCACCTGGAGAGAGGCTGCAAAAAGACGAGGCTCCCAATTATTTCATCTTGATCACTGAAGCTGCAAGCCTCTAGGTATAAAAATTTATTCAAAACCTATATTTTTCCAATTTCCATGATGCGATGGAAAACAAGAACAAGCGCTCATGATCGCTCATGCGCAAAACAAGCAAGTAGCAGCGATGAAGCATGTGTTAAAGTTCAACTAGTTATAGTTGTTATTTTAGTATGTCTCCCCTTGCAGCGCCCTTTATGGTAGTCACTGGGTCAAAGCCCTGGCGCACGGGCACCAAAATAGCTAGCATGTCAGATCCACCCACACAGATGTTCATCGCTCAAAAAATGGCTCCCACCTGCCACAGCTGCTTCCATCTCGTCAGCAGAAGGTTCATAGACAGATGGAAGGCCCTGACATCGCTTGGGTCCTGCCATTGCTGACTCAAAGAAGATCGGCCTGGCACTGGAAGCGTGCAAACTGCACTGTTGCGAGCCCTTGAAGTAGGAGAAGTAGGTGCCTCGGCAATCTAGTGCGGATCATGCCTCCCTCATAGTCAGTAAACAATTAGAAGGACCGTATATTTAAAAAAACGACAGAAACCATTTATTGATCCACCATGATCCACCTATGCACAAACCTGACAGGATCAAGCCACAGCCTTCTGTCCTTTCACACATAGTTTGGCATGCTCTTGCAGTGAGCGCTGTCACCTGATCCGTCATCTCTGGGGCCAACTTTGTCCCTAGCACAAAGCATTGCGCGAAGGGTATGGCAGCCACCAGAACCTGCAGCTGGCTGGGCCACGGCTGAACTGTATTGAACTGTGCCATGCCTCAACACTTAATGCTTTCATGCAATGCTTCTTACGACTGAAAAGATTTTATGAGCGCAAACTGGCAAAAACGCAGGGGATGTTGTGTCATCTATCTATCAATGTTCCGATGCAATGATATGCTGCATATGCTCAATTCTAAGTAGGGTCATTTGTCTTTCCCCTGTCGTGCTTGGGTGAAATGAACCGATCAAGGAAAACATGTTCACAAACAGCCTGCATCTTCGCTTCTGCTGAAGCTGTGTCGGCTTGAAGCGCTCCTCTCAGTTTCCGATTTGCATCGCTCTGGGCAGCGATTTTCTCGATGTCCTCACATCATTCAGGGTAGGTACCCCTAAATCCACTGGTTCATCATTGTGAGTCCTATTGAAATTGCCATTTGGGGTGGTACACGCTAATTTCAGACAAACCCGTCCCAAATCATCCCAAACACATCAGCAAAATTCAGCAAAGCTGGGTCCTGCAGCTCGCTCCCTGCAGGCATGTCTATGAAGGAGTCCAGAATCAGTTTGCCCGAAACTGTTTGATCCTTTGTCATGGTGACCTTGCCCACCTGGCCCTGCATGTCGCGTATGTCGTGAATAGGAATGCTGGAGGACTTGGCCAATTCCATGGCGATCTCAACTTGCAGAACTTGCCGTTCATCCTCCAAATTGGTCATGTCTCCCAGGTCTTCAAGTGTCAACCTGACCTGGGCAACACATCTGGCAGGCCCAGACATAGCTCCCTCTGTTGTCAGCCAAATCGCATCGAGTCCGTACATCTTGCAGCTGCCATCTTTGGGATAGAAGGTGAAGTGCGCACACCCAACAGTATTCCGACAGTTGACCTTGAGTGACAACCAAAAGCTACAAAATAATGGGAAAAGGGTTTCTGGATCTTCTAGCGTTTGGAGGGCTCTGAAACCACATGCAGCCTAAAGAACTATTTGCCGTGTACACTAATCATCACTAGTCACTGGTCTTGACCGTGTCGTTTACAAAATATGTGTATTTCTTTCTCCGGGTAAAACAGATTGTGCGTCGCGTTTATCGGCAACTTGGGGGAAGTGCAAAAAAGCAGTTGTCCTCTTCTATCATGGCCGGCAGAAAAGGAAGGGTCTCCATCACTATCTGAGCCATCTGAGCCTTTTTCATTCTAATATTTCTTGACGTTTCCAGATGTTATGAAAAAACAATACCATTCTAGGCAAGATTCTTGACATTCCGTCAAGTTCATGGTGCGCGAAGCGGTTCCAGCAAGAGTCCCTGAATATTCGATGTTTTCATACAAACATCGTGCCACGGTCTCTCCCGGCACCGTCGCTTGCTGTTTGGCTTTGGCGACTGCAGCACTTTCCTCTTTCTTTTCGGCCTCAGCAGCCTGACCTCCGGGTGGTTTCCCTTGATTCTCTGGAGCGCAGCTGAAGTAAATGCTTGCAAACCTTGGACAAAGGTGGGTGCGGACTGAAGACACATTTTGGTACCAATGCTTCATCATGTTATTTCTAAGCTCTCAGATGCATCATGGCTTGCTTCATGGGAGCTCCGCATGATTTGCGAGTTATTCAAGCTATGTCGATTTTTGACAGAAGCCTCATATCCTCACCATAGAATGTGTCAACTGAGGTGAGCAACTCCTTTTCTGAAACCTCCTCGTTGCCATCTGCATCTGCATAGACAAAGGATTCGTCCGCTTCAGCTTTGCTCATCCCAGCCTCTGGACTGTATGTGTTCCAAAAGGATGTCTTCCACTTCCTGGAATCAGCGAAGAGAACAAAAGGCTTCTGGCTACTGAACTACCTGAACTAGTCCAATATGTTCCAAGAATAAAGCAAATCTACTGTAACACTTCAATTGGCATCGAAGGGCTCAGGTTTCAAACCTTCTTGAACATTATATGAGAAAGAAATTGAGTGGTCTTGTTTCCACGTCAAGACCATTATCAAGTACACCTGGTGGGATATTGTCGGGGTTGATGTATCTAAAGGACAACACAACACAATCAAATAACATAAAAATAAAGTGCATAATTAACTAATAAGGCTAGGTTTCTCGAAATCCACTGGACTTTGAAAGCCGAACTCTGCTCCACTCAACCTTAGCAGCACGGGGTAAAGAGCAAAAATAACTCAAGGGGGGATCTCTTGAGAAAATGTCAGGTTCGATTGTCCACATTCATTTCATCATGCCAAGAAACGCCTTCCAAGCTTCCTGCGACGTGCCATATTGCTTTCGCAACATCTCGCACCAGCCGAACATCGACAAGTAGGTGCTTGCAAGTCCATAGGCAGTTCGAAACCTTGAGACTTTTTGAAGGTCGGAAAAATAACATGAAAAAAACACTGCAAATCATGGAAACCAGAAAAGTTGTGAACCACTTTCAGCAAAGGCACTCTATCGGTTCCACATAGCCATCAGGTGGTGTTCCTCCTCGACATCGTTCAGTCGCAAACGACACCAAAAAGAATGTTGCAACAGGTTGGGGGCTGAAATTGCTCGCACAATCTCGCACCTATTTTGTTTAATTCCTTTTGGTTTCTTTTTGGTCTACGGTCCTCTTGGCTATTGATTCGAATAAAACTCAGAGCGCGCATTAAAAAGCGCACACAGCAAGGCATTTCACAGAGACACACAACCCTTATCACAGACACACAGGACCCTTATCATCCCTTTTCCGTATCCAATCTCTCACTTGGCAGTGCAAACTTCACCAAGCTTCCCAATGTGTCAATGAATCTAAAGGCTTCCCTCCATCCAGGATGGACTAAGTTGGCCAATGGCCACTTAGCCCATACCTCACCAAACATGTAGTAAGGCACCTCAGGCAGCGGGCACCAGGAAGCGATGGGGAAACAGACAACCGTGCCGGTGAAGCAGTGAAGCAGCTCGGATGTCTTGGGGCCCAGCTGGTCCGGCAGTCAGGGGAATGACCTCCTCCATTCTTTTGTCACAAAGGTCACGCCAGGCCTTGGCGTCAGGAAAGCTTTTGGGTGATCTGCACTGGTCATATCACATCTGGATAATGACATGTGACCTGACATGTGTGGTTTTAGAATGTTTTAGATGGTGTTGCTGTTACTCTTTTTTCTATGTTTCTAGTTCTAGTGTTTCATAGTGTTTCTATGTAATATGTTAGTCGTGAGGTGTTAGAAGCTCATGTCAAGGAAACTGATATGAAGAATCTTTTAGAAACCTTGAAATGTCAAGGGACTTCATCAGCAGTTGGGTACTTCTCTTGTACCCAAGAGCTCCAGTTGAAGACCAGCTGTCGGCTGGCAAACCGCGAAAAGTCGCCGCAACCCTGTGCAGCGGAAGTGGGATGAAAGCTGAAAAATGCTGCTTGGTGGTGGTTCTTTCCCATTCTCTGACTGTTTTCTGCTTGGCAAATCCAATCCTCACCATACCTGTTCAGCTGAGTGGCCATTGGAACAAAAGGCTTCGTGCAGCCGTGGAATGCGCCATAGCTGTAGCCTCAAATTGTGCTTGCGATGCCAGGTTTCCAAGTGCCGCCGGATTTCACAGGACCCTCCCCGCGGCACTGGCATTCCAAGGAACTGATGTTGACCAGTTCGTGCCTTCCTCCTACAGGAACACCGCGCACTATCACGTCAAGTTCCTCGACTGCATGTGGGTCCAAGCTTGTGGGCTTTCTATGGCTTTCTGGTGTTTTGGACTGGGCTGTTCAATTTAGCAGCTCTCTTGCAACCAGCTGGCAGATTGAGAAGTACCAACATAGTTCAAGCCAACACGCCAGGAGCCTCATCACAGTCTCTTAGGATGGCACCCATCCACTGAAAGGGATCACAGCAGGTCAAAGCATGAGTTGCTGCATGCCTGCCTTCCCAAATTGATGTCTTGTCGGAAGTGACTTGACCTGCAAGCTCCGTTGCCGATAAGCCATGGCCAACGCAAATCATCAAGACACATAAATTGCTGAACACGATAGAACTGTAATCATCAATGATCATATGCTGCCTTGCCTGCGTCCAGCTGCAAAGTCAATCCTCTCCATGCTTCTGTCTTCTCAGCATCTTGTACAAAAGGTATCTCCTTCTGCTCTATGGGGTCATTGAAGGTGATCATCATGGCAAAGCTTGCAGTTACCAAGATTTTCAAGTCCTCTCCAGGGTCTCACTCTAAAGAGCAAATGAAGCAATAGCTTGCCACTTCATTCTGTACTAACTGAGCTCCCTTGTGCCTGTTGGAGAATGTTGGAGACATAAACGGCATAAACGGTTTGTGTGCCAAGACTGTCTTGCCTGCACTCCCGTTGGCACCCTTACGGTGAAATCTTCAGACTTGCTCACAGGGGCATAGGCCACACCTTGCAACAGAAATGAACATGATCAAAAGGGTACATGGGTATCTATTGAACGTTTGCGCATCACTCATGTACCAAACTCCTTCTCCTCACGCAAGGGAAAGAGGCTGATAACAACATGGAAAGGACCAACAGGTCCAGCTCATGCATGATCCAATCGCACCTGAGTTCTGGTCACAGGGAAACAGGACCGTTACGTTCCGGAAATAGCCCTTTGGACAAACACCTGACGCCTCGGCAGCGACAAGTTCCGCAGGAAGCTCATGGTGACTCATGGCTGGCATGATTCTGTACCTTGCTCAACCTTTCTCATCCCCTACCAGATGCGCCAGATAGATTCAAATAGAGACTATGAGAATCCCCTGCACCATCTTGTAACAACATGTCCGAAACCATCCGATTTGCGGCGCTACTGCAGAAACTTGCTCACAAGTTTGATGCGATAGATGCTGAGCGCTTCACGATGGGAGCACGCGCCAAGCTCAACGAAAAGCTCCAAAAGACCAAACAGCTGAGAAGCACCCATCTCTCCATGGCGGCACATGCTCAAAGTACGGGATCTGAACGTCGTTCTTTCTTCTTGACCATCATACAGCTTTTTTTTCCAAACTAAGGAAATGGGTCAAGGCCTGTGGATGGTGGTGCGCTACAGCATGTTACAATATTGTTTCAAGACATCATTTGCACCAGACTTTGCATTTGGCCACTGCATGTTGCTCCATACTCAGTGAAGTGTGGCGTGCTGATGAGTAGTGCATCCAGAGCCTCTAATGTCAAAGCTGCGACCGCAAACACGAAATCTGTTATTTTGTCATGAACCTCACTGAGTCCAAGTTCCTTGGCGATTGCTGCAAAACATACGTTGACTGAACCTACCCGGTGGGTGAAATCAACAACCTCCTGAAAACATTGGCCATTTGGGGGGTCATCGTCACCGTCACCATCACCGTCACCGTCACCACCCCCACCACCACCACCACCGCCGCCGCCGCCGCCGCCGCCAGCATCAGCATCAGCATCAGCATCATCATCATCATCATCATCATCATCATCCCAAAATATCCTTACCTATGTATATACATTTATCATCCTTTAATTATCTATATATAGGCACAAGTGTACATAATATGTCCATATAGCTTCTAACATGACTTAATACCACCAACCAGCCACAGGTGCACTGCTGACATTCCAAGTTCCTTTTGACCCTGGCAGCCAGTTCCTCTCAGGTCACTGTGGAGCTTCGTCGGCATCGTTTGCTGACTCCAGGGCGGCCCTTTTCATGTCCAGCAGCTCCTGATGAAAGGGCGAATGGATGACAATAGCTGTTGTTGCTGCACAGTTGTGGAAAGAATGGACCATTGGAAATATCATTGTATGACCATTATTACTGGAGTTAAACCCAAACAATCTGCGAAAGTTGCATCCAACATGTCACTGGCCTGTGCAACAGTAGGCCTCAGGTTTCTCGCATAAACACTGCTGCCACTCTTGGAATCACGGCGTAAAGAGTCTCAAAACTAATCCAGCACCCTGAGGTTCCTTCCAATCTCTTCAACATATAGCTCGTAGAGGGTACGGGGCCGCATGAGTTTTGCAGTTTGTAATTTTTGTTTAAGAACATGTTTTCAACGAGGAAGCGCTTCACCACATCTGAAATGCTAGGACTGTGACATCTCTTGCAAGGCATACTTGGCACAGGCTCGTGATGTCAACTTTGACAATAGCTCCTTAGTGGCAACGACTCACAGTGACACATAGTTACACACAATCACAGCAAAGGCACCTTCGTGCACAGGATTTGGGAATTCCATCCGGCTGCGAGAAGAGATGCGTCATGCATACACCTTTTATTTCCTGATAGCCCCCTACCTGTCATATATGATACACTTCGTTTGTGGCCCTGGTATAGCCTGACCTCATCTACAATAGGTCTTGAAAGCTGATTCTCAAACCCCTGTCTCTTTTTGTGGAGCCCCTGTCTTCTTCAGCATCCTAAGGATGAGAGTACCAAATAAGTATCCGCCAATATTGTATCAACTACTCGTGCGTTCAGCACCCTCGGCAACTCCGATTGCTTTCATCAGCCATGAAAAATACCCTTGTCCTATCCCACTATATTGGTTGGTTGATGGGTATTCGTGTTGTCGGTTACAACAATCTCCCAATAAACCAATATATCATATATGTGTGTATGTATGATTAACTATGTATATATATATATATATGTAACCCCTTAATAAGTGCATCAACAGGAATATGTTTAATGGCATCCATGAGTTTGGAACTGCAATCTGAGTTTGGCACTGACCTCTTCTTCTTGTCTGCCTCCAAGCACCCGAAAGGTACAGCATGCGCGGTAACTGACTCAGGACTAGAAAACGCCGAATGGAGAGGCGCTACACTCCCTGCACTCTTTGTGGGCATGGGATGGCACGGGTCAATCAAGGCCTCCTTCAGAGCGTCTTTCTGCCACAAGCTGATTGGCAGCAAAGAGTCTTCCAAGTTTCTGACCTCAACATCTAAAGAGCGTCTGGAGGTGCACTGAAGTTTGAGCAAACGCTGTGCATGTCATGTTCCAAATGAGAAAAAATGTACAGTAAACCGATTGGATTGGAGTTTCATTGGTTCATCATTTGTCATTTTTTTGTTGATGTGCCATATCACAAGTGTTATTTTGCAGTTGCCGTCCCACCCCGGTGCCTTCTTCACAATCTCCACCAGCAATGGTTCCTTGCCGTTTTCACACTGAGATCTGAAAGTTGCACTGATGATCTTCTTCTGGAGCAGACTGAGCTGATGACCATCTCAGGTTCTTCAGCCTTAATTGCAGGATCACCAAACATGAAATGGACTCGTTGCTTTGACACAGAGAAAGGTTCATGGCCACAAACAACTACAATTCGAACTCTGGGTTGTCTGAAAAGATGGCACCCCCTGAATCCATTGGGTCAACAATAATGGTCCACATCAAATGGCCATACCTATTCGGTATCATTGCTTCCACCGGTTTGTTTTCCCCCCCAATCCCAATCTCTAGGGCTATAATATGATACCCTCTGGTGAACTAACATAGCTATGGAAAATGGCCATTTATAGTGGATTTTCCCATGAAAAATGGTGATTTTCCATTGCTATGTTAGTTCACCAGAGGGTACTCCATAAAATCACCAGCATTTCTGGACAACAAAACCATCGACAGTCCATCAGAGGCGCATCCTGCAGGGCATCGCCACAAAGCTTCATCAACTCCAAGCGCGGCAGAGTGCGATGCAACCTGTGGGGGTCAACCGGTCAACCCATTTTGTTTTTGGGGAACCGCCATGAAAAATCACTGGTTGGTTCACTGGATTGGTTTAAGGGAAAATCTACAGGAAACCATGGTTTTTACCATCAAATATAGGGCTTTCCTGTAAATTTTCCCATCATCCAATTCTATGGATCACTGGTTGGTGGTTGACCTAGCCCCCTGAAAAATATGAAAGTCAATGGGAAGGATTATCCCATATATATCCCATCATATATTATGGAAAATAAACAATGTTTGAAACCACCAACCAGATCAATGTTTGATCACCCTTTTGCACTAGTCTTAAGCTGCCAACACAAAGAACAACTGGGAACGGAACATCTCAATAGAAAAAGGGACTTAACAAGGTTGATGCATTGCCATGCCAGTGGGAATCGAGGATGAATATGTTCTGCCAGCTCCGCCAGGGCACCAAAAGTCTGCAAGTCGGTGCACCCTGCCGAAGAAATCCACCCTCGCGTAGCTGATCGTTGTGACTTTCGATCCAATTCATTGCCGGTGATAGTACAGTTGCAAACTGAACACTGCTTTCAAATTCTTATATAATTTACACATATTCACACGTTCATTTATGGAATATTGCTGAATCAGGAGCCGTATGTGGCAACAGAAAAGTTCCGCGCTTGCGGCAGCCAAGCTACATCTGCTGACGTCGTTCCTCCACAGCGGCCACAGTTGCTTGCATTTCTTTGATCCTTGGAGATGTGAAGAGCCTTTAGAAAGTAGACAGGAAACATATGGAAACATCATTACGATCTCACGACCATGCTGCCTGTGTGTCTGCATGAGTTGAGGCAAAGGACTGTATCTCCATTCTCTGGATCGCATCAATGTCCAAAAAGTCGTGCAAAACCTGCAGGGTCTCGACATGCTGTGGTTGAATGACCCACCACCAGAATCATGTAAACGCCATGTCAACACAAATGTGGTGGTTCTTCAAGCTCCCGGCAAATGCAATACAGATCAAAGTCACCTCGTGCGAACCAATTTCTGCATTTGAAGAGTCGTCTTTCACGGATTACGATTTTTGATGATATTCATTGTGTCAAGACAAATGCCGAGCGTATCATGATTTTCATGTTCATGTTCAATCATTGCAGCCAGGCCACAGACATGGAGGATATGACCACGGTGTAAGGCGGGCTCACCACGGCAATGTTCAGAATCAGCAGAGGAACTCCAATTAAAAAACTGAAGATCAGCCTGGTGAGTATCACCCGGATTCACCCGGTTCTCCATCATAGTGCTGCGTGCAACATCATGCAACATCTAATCATCATCCAATCCACTTCAGTTTCCAAGCTCTCAGCCTTGCATGCTCGGGGGACAGCACCTCTGCTGGGGCCGGGACTGCAAGAAAGGAATCCCCAAAGATCTGCAGGACATCTGATGCGTCAAGGCTCAGTGCAACTGAAGAGGAGCAACTTCATCTGCACCGGAAAGGGATCGTCATCTTCCACTTCGATTTGAAAGCGTCCATCTGGGCATGGTTTCACATAGGTCCAGCTCGCACTGCTCATTACACTCTACATCCCGTTTTTTTGTCTCACAGCTGTGACCATTATCGATCTGTCTCTCCTAAAAAAAAGGCAGACGGCTCGGCAGGATGGGGGAAAAGTGTGTGTGTGTGTGTCTGGGCATGCTATAGTACTATAGATGATGCTGGACGTGCGCGCACCAGCACTATCACTTTGCAGTGTTTCAGGATGTTTCAGGAAAGGCTGTGGATGGTTTTTGGGACCATAACCCGATAAACTCTCAAATTAGCAACAAAAATTAAGGTGCAGCCGACTTGCTCATATCAAATCGAAGCCTCATAGCAATCATAGCATGAAATATTGAAGCACAATTTCTGCTAAAACACTTGTTTGGTGATGATGTGTGACACATGAGCATCCCCAAGGACAGATTTGCCCAGAGACCACTTGATCTGCTGCTCTTTGGTCATATCACTATCCTTATCATGGCCAACTGCCAATCGTCAAATGCCCACAGAACTACGAAATGGTGTCACCTCTTAAGCTGAGATTCAAAAGCCGCTGGCAGGGTGAACTCAAATTCTTGTTCCTCTTCTTTGAGCTCCTCTTTCTTGGATTCCTGCGGGTTTTTCTTCTTCACCACTTTCACCAGTTTGGAGAAACCGGTCAGACTCATCACCTTGGGCAATGAATCAATGAAGAGAAACGCCTTGAAAGAAATGTGACAGAGGCAGTTCCACCAACACTGCAAACCCTTTCTATGTCATTGGTCCAGGATCCCAGATGGCCTTCTTTGAAACAAAGGTCGCTCGCTTCCATTTCTGCCGCCTCATGCTGGCGGTCATTGCAATCTTGGCATGATCGAATTGATGTACAGTTCCCAAACAATTGGATTCCCATCCCTTCACCAACCATGAAGTAGATCATCTGGATCCATCTGACGCATCTGATTTTGATGAATTTTGATGAATTTTGATGAATTTTAGGCATCCCCCATTTTGGTGATGTTTGACCAATACCCCAATTGTCATTGGCCAAACCATCCCATCATCTTGAAACTGCCCAAGAAACAGAGTTGAAGATGACTTCTTCGCAGTCTTAGCTGAATCAAAGTCCAGCTCAAGATGCTGAGGGAACAGCAGGACCAGAAGCAGAAAACAAGAATCATAGGGGCTACCCCAAAAAAATAGAAAAGCGAATCACAACCAACATTGTAGAAAAGAACTTGTTCATATACTTACTTGTTCTATCTTTTTATGGGAAGCTCTAATTGCCAACTTGGCTTCGTCAACTTTCTTCTTCAGGAATTTCACTTCCATTGCTTTTGCTTTCTTCCCCACCATTTCCTTGGCAGAGCGGGCTCACAGCATTTAAGTCGCGCTGCTGCTGAAACAGTTTACGAAAGCATACCTGGACATGTTCGGACTTTATGTTGAAATCAACGACGCTTAATGCCATGTCTCAGAATGGCTACCTGACTACTGAACGAAATTCCAAGTGATTCTGGCTTTACTCTACCCCGTAAAGAATCATTCAAGTATGCCTGGATTACTGGTTTTCCAAATTTCCAACTGCAAATTCAATATTGGATCATATTGAATCCTGTTCAATTCAGAGCTCCACGGTGTCGACAATCATAGCACCCGCCATGACTTCATCTTCACTGGCGATCACGAAGGGCTCTTCCAAAGGGTATGCTGAGCCTTTGGGATTCCATGGGATTCCATGGATTGATGGCATAAAAATTGCCAATATGTGGCCATGGATTGTTGCCATCACCAAGGCGCATTCTTCGAAGATTTTCAGGTATAAGATGAGAAAGGCCAGGAAATCCCTCAGATAAAACAAGCTGGCAATTTTTTTGGTGAGAAAAAACACAACTGCCACTGCCATTCTCGTAAGCATAGCGTGGACAATGCATGGAAACTTGGGGATAGATGTACCAGCGTGGCTGCACAGGCCAAGTACGGCCTCTGCCATCTTCAGTTCATGATGCATCATGAAAGATCACTGTCCACAGGGTTTGCAATTGACTTCATTGAAGTGGAGGTTTCCTAAAATAGGGGTACTCCCATTTCATCATCCATTTTAATAGGATTTTCCACTATAACCCATCCAGCTATTGGGGCACCCAGGAAACCCCAATTTAATCTGCAGTGAAGCTTCGGAGTTGGGAATTCGCGGAAGCTGCGCACTTTGGACATGATTCCCTTCAAGAGGAAGTTTGCGAGGTCGCGCCTGCATGCCAATGCTGCTGAAAACATGGACACAACTGGGAACAAATGGGAAGAAAGATAGAAACATATAGTAATGAACTGAAAACCCTTGAATCAAGCAGGAAGCAAAAGAACAAGAAACAACAAAAACAATAGACTCAGGCAGCAGTGGTGGCAGCAACAGCGCGTTGCTTCTCATCAAGACCAGTGTGTGCTGAAAAGGTCGAGCTGATCAAAACAATCTGGCCTGTGAGAATCCAGACTCCTTTCTGCAAGGGCAGCCTGCAAAGAGCAGAAAGCCTTTGCCTCTTTCACCAAGTGGGTCTGTAGTAACATTTGAGGCTTGTCCAAACATCGGACCGTTTGATATAAGTAAGACGATGATCAAGCATGAAACCTTGGGATTTCCGACAACTTTCAGTCAACCTATTTCATCTCCGCCATACCAACATGTCAAAAGATTTCGATGGTTACCAGGAGCAGTTTCCACAGACAACACTGGGAAGCGTCATGCCTGCGTGTCAGCAGATTTTGCGAGCATCGTGTCGAGATCTGAAACCATGCCGTTGAAGGTGTTCATCATTTGGTCTTTGCCTGCACTCCACCAAGGTTTGGCTTGGGGTAATGATATGGAAATGACATGAAATGACAGCATACACTTGCAAACATGATGAAGATTTGTTTCAGATGCATGAAGATGCACCAACTAAATACCACTGTTTTCCTTCTCAAACTGCACCAATGGCATGGAGTACCACCTGACAGTGGTTTCATCAAAAGTTGCCATGTGCTACGGCTGTACCTGCACTACCATCAAGAATGTAAAATAATGTACATAAATATATGCTTGGCATTGCTTGGCCTGAGTGACTCTATACTCTTGTAGTGTCACCTCTGCCCCCAAACTATGCCTATGTAACGCCACATCCGAGACAAAGTCAAACCAAGGCGCTCTTTTGCGCTTCAGTGGAGCAGGTATGCAAATCGACACCTTCGCATGCAAGAGCGCAAGAGCTTTGAAAAGGGCACCGGTATCTGCCAAATATCCAACATGCATGGTAGAGTGGTGCCAATTTCATCAAGGAATTCATCTTTCATGGTGAGACAACTGAAATCATGACGCCCTGGCAAGGTCCATGAAGAAAGGTGGCAGCACAAGCAAAGCTGAACGGATTCAGAGACAAACATCCAATCAAACAACTGCATTCAATAACCATCAAACTACATTCTTCATTACCCTATGTTTGAGTGACCAATCATTTCGAATTATGCAGGTTAAATTTGGTGGGGCATGGTGGGGCAACTTATCAAATCTCAAGTGGGTGCAGATTGGAGGACAGTGATTGGGAATTCCTTGATCATCCCATTCCAATCTTAGCGACTGTATTGGACCAGCTCCATGTGAAGCAGCTGCAAACTCACCACTGCAAAGATGCAGGATGCAATCACCACCTGAACTTGTCAAAGCCGTGCACAAGGGCTGCAACCACAGTTCTTTGCACGCCTTTAAGACAAGATTGTGTTCAGGACTGCTGCAACTTCAAGTTCATTCGAAAAACATCAAAAAGTGTATTTCAGCAATTTCTAGCCCTTAAACTTACAAGCAAAGGATGACTTGTTTGTATATCAACTGGTCGATATTTGCATTCAAGTTACAGTGTAGTCCCAAGGGGCGTGTTTTTCTTCTTCCCAGTATTTCCACGTCAACACGAGTTGGATGAACAACGAACAGTTGGCAACCATTCGGGTCAGTAGGACCAAATGCGGGAAACTGTGAACTTGTCGAACATAACTTGGCAAATACCTTGGTCAAAAAGCCAAAGAGCGTTCACATGGCCTGCATCATACCCGTCCAATTCTATCATATTATATCCATACATCGCACAAAAATGCATCATCATCACCCCAAATCACCGCTGACTGCGAGAAACAAAATCAACAATTAATCCAGACCATGATAATCCAAGATACGAGTAGTAGCAAGTTGGAAGTAGCTCCTTGAGGAGGCTGAATGGTTCAAGCGGGAAACAACTTCGTCGTTCTTGCTGCGTAGATCTCGCTGGACAACTTTGCGGGTTGGTTTCCGTCGTCGGTGTGGCCTCAGTAGACTGAACCACAACAAGGGGCTGCGAGGGTTCGAACATGTTCAAACACGTTGAAACTACCAATCTATGTCTATGGGTTTGCCATCGTTTGATATCGTTTGTCTACAAATACGGTACGCCCAAAAAAAAACGGTGATTAACTAACAAATTTGGGTGCTCCCCTAATTTTCAGACAAACCCATATTATCCCATATTACTGTACCGCCCTTCATGGTGCACACCTGGCGCATCTGTGTATTGATATTGAGGTCAACACATCGTAGCTAGGTGGCGCAGGCGATGCTTCTGCCAGCGGGGTAGTCCTTTGTGGTTGGCAGCACTATCAATAATGACACAAAATAATCTAAAATAATGCACAATAAAATGAAGAAAACCACATGCAACAAGTACAACTTGTACAACAACCCATGACTTGCAGACCAAGGACTCTGACATGGCCTGATATAGGGGGGTAGCGGCAGTGCCGCGAACAGACGGATGCTGGGCAAACCACAATACGACTGAGCCTCTTGTGGCTGAGGAACACGGCTCGTTGTTTGAAATATTTTCACAGTGTAATTATGCTAAAACATGGTGTTCCTCAGGTGTACTCAGCGGAAACCCAAACCAAAATATGCTGGGTAGTGACCCGCAAATGAAACGTCTTGTACTGCCGCTGCATACTTCTGCTGTTCATGTGTCATTGGTGTGAGATCGTGTGTGGTTGTGTGTTTCCAACGTGCGCGCGCACGGTCATGCCATGATGCCCACATGGTGACATCCATCAAGTCAATTTGGAATTCATACAAGTACTTGGGAAACGGTGCAGCGTAGGAATTGTAGTTCTTGTAGTTTCTTGTTTGCTTGTTGGGTTGTGCCCTCATCCATGCAGATACCATATCCAAAGTTATGCCCACATCGACTTTCCTCGCCTTTTCGTATAAGTCCCTCATCGAACCGAAGCCCTCGTCCACGTCGTAATATATTTTTTCCAATACCTTTTCTTTTTCCAATCTTGCCATTAAAAGTACTTAGATTATAATTTTATGATATGTTCTTGTATCATAAAATCATAGTGAACTCAAACCAAGAACCTCCGGCACTTCTTCGTTTTCTTATGCTTTGCCAAGTTTGATTTACAGCTCATGGCAGAGCCGCATATATCGCATACACACGGTTGTTTCGTTTTCTCTTGGTCCATCTTTGGAAATACTTTTCGTCGTTCGGTTTTCTGTTGTAGTATCCGTCGTCCTGTTTTCTCCACTCAGCATTGGTGTTCTTGTTAACGGATGAGTTTGCTTCGTAGCTTTCTTCAGACGAAGATGTTTCGCTGTCAGTCAGTTCTTTGTTTCCAAAACCGTTCCAAATAAAGTCGACGGTTTCATTCGATTTGTCATCGGGATTTCAATTCCATTACTTACAAAGTAACAAGGCATATTGTGTATAATATATATATATAGTATATTATCTTAATATTTGTTTAAGCACTTTTTGCCCGATGGGGGTTTTGTGTATAATATCTCTACGCCGTCTCATATAAGTCGGTGGCATGCTTTTCGTGACTGCAAGGAGTTTAGCATGTTGAAAAGGCACCCTTACAGTAGTTGTCAAAACTTTATCCACTAGTTTTCCACCGATTTTCCTTAAATTTTCTACTAGTTTTCCATTCAAAGCTCCGACTGCCAGGAAAGCCTGTCCAAAATCAAGCACAAGTCTTTTTCTCAGGGAACTGTATGTTGCTTGGTCTGTGCTTGGGCGCTATGTCCAACGCCTGAATGAAACATGCCATGACCAGCTCTTGGGTCATCGCTCTTGCACCCGTTGCATGCATGACCTGAATGACAGGAAAAGTCAATGCTTCATTCCAAGTTGGAATTGTCGACGTGCGAACGCATACTCTATCATCGACGCAAGGTCATACCACAACGAACCAACTGTGCTACGATGTGAAACGTTAACATACTATATACCCGCGACATTCATCTCGATGGATTTCGACAGCCTCCGCCGACAAAGCAACAAACAAACCCTCATGAGAACCAAAATTTGTCAGGATGACCACGGAACTCCACTACCGTCAAGCCACTGCAGGTTGCTAAGAAAGCTGAGACTCACACTCACGTTGATGGTATCATGAAACCATAGCAGTCTGACCTGAGTGCTCAGAGGCGGCAAAAGAACAAAAATACATCAAACATCAAAAAGTTGTAAACAATGACATCAATCTGAACCGAAGCATTGTCAAAAGCTGCTCAAAACAAAACACCAAGTGCTGGGCTTGGACGTGCCACGATTGACTGGTGCTTCTTCATCTTCCAGAATCCAATAAGCAAACTGGCAAACCACAACCAAAAGCGCAGTTGAAGGCTGAACTAAACACGAACTGGCGGGTCATTGAAGCCATTGCAACTAGCAAAGAAGTTGCTGGCACAATCAACGGCTCCTCCTGTTGACTTTGACTGCAAAATGTCAATCAAGGGATAGCGCGGTGGATACTGGAAGAAAACAACCAAGCTGTCCTGCAGGCTGTAGATGTCCAGCTCATCTGCATCGCACGACACCTTGTTGGGTTTCTCCTTCTTGATTGCCTCGCGCATTGGAAGCAAACCCAAAAGCTAAATTGGTTTAGTCAAAGCACCAAGTTTGAACGTTAGGGCACAGTATTGGACATGAATGCAAACCATGAACTCACAGCACAGATTGCAAAAATGTTTGCTGTGCTCAATCTTTGTCACGTCTCTTCTGATGTTCCAAAGCAAAATGAACAAAATTCTGAGGTCAGCACTTTTTTCAGATCATCAACGTCACCAACTGCAGTGATTTTGGAGGGATTGCCAACGAACTCGAAGCCACCTTTGACATCCTGCAAGGTGTTGCACAAGCCGCTTCCCGGCAACCAATCTCTTGACTGGCGAAGACATGAACGCATGGCTGAAGGAAATCTCCTGATAAAGTTTTGTCTGAACAGACCACGTAAATCTTAACCTAACACTAGTGAAAACGAAAAGGGACAAAGGCATAAACTGTTCCATTGACTTTTGCAAATTACAAAGCCTTTGATGCTCGAGTGGGAGAAATGATGGAACACAACCCTACCTGTGTTAACATGACCAATTAACACTGGCTTTTAGCACAAGAACCACAAAAAGGAACACATGAAAGGAACATATAGGGACGACAAAGCCGCTCGTTCAACACTTGCAGTATTTCTCAAAAGATGAGATGTTAAGTAGGAAGAGTCAAAATGAACATGGGAAAGAAACAGGGGCATTCCAGAAAACATGCCAAGTCTTTCGTCGAAATCCTCTCTATCAAATTGAGGGAGACGTTTGAAAGATATCTTGATTCCAGCGCCACCCTTTCAACCAATGTCCGGCCGTGCCCAAAAAAGAGCACATAGCAAAGACTTAACGCGCATCACAAGCAATGCAACGCACCATGCAAAACATTTGGAAACATTGCAACATGGCAGTGGGAAATCTCTTGATGAAGCGTCGACTGAACAAATCACTTGTATTTTAACCTAACACTAGTCAGAGGAACCTCGAAAAGGAACAAAGGCATAAACTGTTGCATTGACTTTTGCAAATTACAAAGCTTTTGTTTGATGCTTGAGTGGGAGAAATGATGGAACACAACCCTACATTCATCAACATGACCAATCCACACCGGTTTTAGCACACGAACCATGCAAAGCAACACATGAAAGGAACATATTCGGATGACAGGCTGCTTGTTCAACACTTGCTGTATCACTCAAAAGATGAGATGTTAAGTAGGAAGAGTCAAAATGAACATGGGAAAGAAACAGGGGCATTCCAGAAAACATGCCAAGTCTTTCGTCGAAATCCTCTCTATCAAATTGAGGGAGACGTTTGAAAGATATCTTGATTCCAGCGCCACCCTTTCAACCAATGTCCGGCCGTGCCAAAAAAAGAGCACATCGCAAAGACTTAACGCGCATCACAAGCAATGCAACGCACCATGCAAAACATTTGGAAACATTGCAACATGGCAGTGGGAAATCTCTTGATGAAGCGTCGGCTGAACAAATCACTTGTATTTTAACCTAACACTAGTCAGAGGAACCTCGAAAAGGAACAAAGGCATAAACTGTTGCATTGACTCTTGCAAATTACAAAGCTTTTGTTTGATGCTTGAGTGGGAGAAATGATGGAACACAACCCTACATTCATCAACATGACCAATCCACACCGGTTTTAGCACACGAACCATGCAAAGCAACACATGAAAGGAACATATTCGGATGACAGGCTGCTTGTTCAACACTTGCTGTATCACTCAAAAGGTGAGATGCTGAGGTGGGAACAGACAAAAGGGCACAGCAAAGGAACAAGGGCATGGCAGAAAAACATACAAAGTCTTTAGTCTAAATCCTCTCTCCCTTTCAACCAATGTCCGGCCGTGCCCAAAAAAGAGCACATAGCAAAGACTTAACGCGCATCACAAGCAACGCAACGCACCATGCAAAACATTTGGAAACATTGCAACATGGCAGTGGGAAATCTCTAGATGAAGCGTCGACTGAACAAATCACTTGTATTTTAACCTAACACTAGTCAGAGGAACCTCGAAAAGGAACAAAGGCATAAACTGTTGCATTGACTTTTGCAAATTACAAAGCTTTTGTTTGATGCTTGAGTGGGAGAAATGATGGAGCACAACCCTACATTTATCAACATGACCAATCCACACCGGTTTTAGCACACGAACCATGCAAAGCAACACATGAAAGGAACATATTCGGTTGACAGGCTGCTTGTTCAACACTTGCTGTATCACTCAAAAGGTGAGATGCTGAGGTGGGAACAGACAAAAGGGCACAGCAAAGGAACAAGGGCATGGCAGAAAAACATACAAAGTCTTTAGTCTAAATCCTCTCTATCAATCGCAGGAAGATTATTGGAACATATGTTTAAACAAATCCTGAGGATTCCTGAGGAATGAACAACCCTGCAATCTTCTCCCCAAATAGTGCTGAACTGTCTCAAGAACATAAAATGACACAGTATTATTTTGCATAGCGGGCTTACACATAATCACATGTTTGGCTTGGGAGGAAAGTGACATTAACACCATCAATCCATGTAGTTTGCTGCTGAGTTGGCATAGACATTATTGTTCGTAGAACCCAATACAATTGTGCTTCCTTGGTGGGGCAACTGACTGGCACCGGTCACTTCTGTCCTCCTTTAGTTGCCTCACCCACACTGCTCCAGCTTGTGGTCTGGTGATGCCTTGCGTTCAACATGTTCAACCGAGAATGGATGGAGAAAAAATGGTTCGCGTTTCCGATAAATGCTCCTGAAAGATTGAGAAACAAACTGGAAAATGACTGGGGCTCATAGTGACGAGTGGTTGCTCCAAAGGAAAAGTCTTTCTTTGAAGTCCAAGTTGCTTGGTTTCACCGTGTCCACCATCCGCTGGATGCACTTGCGTGCATATGTAGTTGGTGGAATTAAAACCCGCACCGCACCTGGGTCTCTGAACATATCTTCCTTCAAG